TATAGTTACTTCATTCTACAGGGTGTTTGGTTATGACCCAACTGGATTTGGATGCCTTCTTATCAAAAAATCTGTGATGGGAAGCCTTCAAAATCAGTCGGGGCATGCTGGGTCTGGTATAGTAAAAATTACTCCTGTTTTCCCCTTGTATTTGAGTGACTCGGTTGATGGTTTCCCTGGATTGGCCGAGGATGATGAAGCGGGAGAGGACAGTGAAGCAAATGCTGAAACTCGGCCAGGATCTCAGTTGCCAGCCTTTTCTGGTGCTTACACTTCTGCTCAGGTCAGGGATGTATTTGAGACGGAGATGGAGCATGACAACAGCTCCGATAGGGACGGAGCAAGCACGATATTTGAAGAGACAGAAAGCATTTCTGTTGGGGAGGTAATGAGAAGTCCAGTCTTTAGCGAAGATGAATCATCTGATAACTCCCTGTGGATTGACTTGGGCCAGAGCCCCTTGGGATCTGACGGTGCTGGGCAATCCAACAAACAAAAGATTGCCTCTCCAGCACCCCCATTTTGGTTTGCCGGCAGGAAGAATAATAAAAGGCTCTCTCCCAAGCCTTCAAAGATTTCAAGCAGCCCATTGTATGACACCGGGCGGCATGACGACAACCATGTGCTATCATTTGATGCAGCTGTTCGGTCGGTGTCTCAAGAATTGGACCACTTCAAGGAGATTCCTGAAGAAGACCAGTTTGATAAGAGAAGCCCAGAGATCGAGGAAGAACCAGAGACCAGCAAACCGGGTCACATGTTGATTTCTGCTGTAAGGGGATCTGGTCTGGACAACTCAACTTCAATTTCTCGGCATCAAACCCTTGATAATGGATCAATCTCTGAGATATGCCCGGAGATTAAAGAGAGTGCTATAAGAAGAGAAACTGAAGGTGAGTTCAGGTTATTGGAAAGGAGAGAAGGAAACAGATATGCAGGTGGTAGATTTTTTGGTATAGAAGATGCTGATCAGCCTGGAAGCCGGGGAAGACGTGTATCCTTCAGCATGGAAGATAACCGTAAACCTCGTCTGAGCCATACACTTGAGCCTGGGGAATTGTTAGCAACAAGTTTGGATGATGACGAGTACCTTAGTGATGGGGATTATGATGACGGGCAAGAGTCGGACAGGAGAGAACCCGAGATAGCATGCAGGCATCTTGATCACATAAACATGTTAGGTCTCAATAAAACTACTCTCCGGCTAAGATATCTTATCAATTGGCTAGTTACCTCGTTGCTTCAGTTAAGATTTCCTGGTTCAAATGGGGAAGACAGTTCACGGCTGGTTCGCATCTATGGTCCGAAAATCAAATATGAGAGGGGTGCAGCTGTTGCATTCAATGTGCGAGACAGAAACAGGGGCCTCGTGAGTCCTGAAATAGTTCAGAAAGTGGGTGAGTCACATGGTATCTCTTTGGGCATTGGTATCCTAAGTCATATACGGATCTTAGACAGCCCAAAACAGCAGCAACGATCTCTGAGTCTTGATGACACTACCCTTTGCAAACCAATGGAAAATGGCAAGCATGACGGTAGAAGTGGGTTTGTCAGAGTCGAAGTTGTCACTGCTTCACTTGGCTTCCTCACTAATTTTACTGATGTCTATAAGTTGTGGGCTTTTGTGGCTAAATTTCTTGACCCTGGCTTTATTAAAGAAGCTGGACTCCCGCCTGTTGCAGAAGAAGAGACCGAGGCATGAAGCTTGAGGCTGGTTTAATAGCTTTTACTCCTTTTGTTCCTAACCTAAGATGCAGGGATGTATCGCCGACCGTAAGTTCACTCTGATGAAAGTTCAGGTTCAAGAGAAACAATGAAAGGTCTGAGATGTATTCTTTTGGCCCCCCTGTCTCTTTTTCGATGCATGTGGGAGAATTTTTTTCATTCTTGTTTTTAATTGCTTGAATGTTTCTTTCTTTACCTTTTTTGGAGTTCCTGTAGAGTTGGGAGTTAGAAATCTGTATTTTCTCAGGTAGTCATGAATCATGATGAACCAAAGCAGATATAAGCAGGGGTTAAATGATCCCTTTCCACCATTTGCCCTATTGCTTCTCAGCTGTGTATAATGATCATTCATGCTTGCTCAGTCTCTTATACAGTCTCTTGTCTTTGCTCCTGCATCAAGTTCTTGCTATCAGCATAATTTTGTCATAAAGTATATTCATAATGTCCAGTATACTACTATCAAAGTAAACAGTATTCTTACTACTGAGTGTCCATCTGAATGATTTTGACACACTTCAAGGCAGCCTGGTGCATAAAGCATCCCACATTCACGTAGGATCCGGGGAAGGGCCACACCCAAGGGGGTGATGTAGACAACCTACCCTAATGCAAGTATTAATGGTTGTTTCTGCGGCTCGAACCCGTGACCTATATGTCATATGGAGACAACTTTACTACCCAATGCAAGTATTAGTGGTTGCTTCTGCGGCTCGAACCCGTGACCTATAGGTCATATGGAGACAATTTTACTGTTGCTCCAAGGATTTTTTTTTAACACCCTTCGGATTTAGAAATTAATGGTCACTTGACCAAGTTCCATGTTTAGTGAGTTGAATGCCTTCTATAGGCAATTAATGTTAGAGAGTTATGCTGTTATGTGAAATTGCCTGGCAGTAAAAGCATCAACCTTGATAGCAGAATTGAGAAAAACATAGAGATTTTTTTAGAAATATTTTGACTCCTATGATTAATTCTGCTGTCGGAAACAGCCTCTCTGCCCCTCGGGGTAGAGGTAAGGTCTGCGTACATATTACCCTCCCCAGACCCCACTTGTGGGATTACACTGGGTTGTTGTTGTTGATTAATTCTGCTGTCGGAAACAGCCTCTCTGCCCCTCGGGGTAGAGGTAAGGTCTGCGTACATATTACCCTCCCCAGACCCCACTTGTGGGATTACACTGGGTTGTTGTTGTTGATTAATTCTGCTGTTATATTTTCATCTGAATAAATCCTATGGGGTTTCTTTGACATAGTATATTAGAAACGTGTCAAGGTTAAATTACTACAAGGAGATCACTCAACTCTTTGAATGTATCGCAATAATACACTCGAAAGCACAACATCAACTATACCTCAGTCCCAAGCAATATGGGGTTGGTAATATGAATATTAACTGTCCATATATTCTATAAGGTTGCTGGCTATTGGTCATAAAGCAATAAGGTTTCAAATGGTATAATTAAGTGTTTTATATTCAGATAGGATAGGCATCTAACTTAAGTATGCATCAGCTCCTATTGTCCATTCTTTACACCTCAATGCCCCTGTGCTCCTCCCTCACAAAAGATAAAAGAGAAAAGCAGAATAAGGAGTGAATGATTTGAAGTAAAGGGACCTTTGATTATCAGTAATGCTAATTATTGTAGGGGGCCACACCCATTGAGTTTTGTTTGCCACAGAGATAATAGTGAGGTCTTGTATCATTGTACTAATCTTTTTTTTTTTTTAGCAGATTCCGGTCCCAAATTGCAAAAGATGCACCTTTCATTGATGGGAATGATTGTACCCTCTCCTCTCTTCATCGTTAGGCATAAAAACCAAACCTGCCCAACGTTATGCGAAAATCATGTTTCCCATTTTACTGCACTATCTCTCAATCAATCTTTATCTCGTCTCAAACTAGTTGAGGATTATATATGTCTATTTTATTCTATGTGGGCTCATTTATCAAATAAATTAGATTCTTTTCATCCACTTTTTGTGATGGTATTTAAACATATTCATTTCAATGATACATAATTCCCCCTCTTAACGCTGTGCTCATTCACTTATATATATTTGCTTTTTCTATCCTGGCGGGTGTTTATTATCTCAAAACAACAGGCAATAAAATAGTGAAGATGGATCCACGTTAGACAAATTGGTTGATAGAATTTGGTAGTCATCTAGTTGAAGAAGCATTTTCAAATTTGGAGGTAGTTGAGCGACAACGAAGCGTTGACAAATTTAGACACACTAACAATCCAAGAGGCGCCAGCAATGTATATTTGGGACTTAGTAATCACCAATATCTTTAGCAATTAGCTTAATGCATCTCAGGACACAATTTTCATCGTAATCTCTTCAACAACAAAATCAAGCCAAACCACTTCTTTATCCAAAACAACTCGCACGTTGCTATCTCTCACCAACATAAGTATTACTACTAAGTAACTCTATAGACAAAGACTTAGACAGATGAGAAGAAATTACCGAAGGAGTTTTTTTACTATAGAGATTAAAATTCTAATCTCCAATGACTTTCACCCACTTTATCGACAACTAAGTCATAATCTTGAATGCAATCAGACCAAACCACTTTTTTGAAAAGTCGTCATTCATCCAAAGAAGAAGCACCGCACTTTTCAATAACAACAGCTCTAATTAGTTGGACAAGAATATGGCAAGTAAAGATTAAAGGAGATTCCTTATCTGGTGAGCACCTTTGCCTATAAAGGACAAGATTAGTAGGAATATCCACTGCTTTAAGGCGTATTACAATCTGGATTGATAGGAAGGTGGAAAAAAACAAGTTATAGTCCTATGGGTATAAGCTTTTATATCTTACATGAAATTAATAAACAAAACACAAGTAGCTATGATTCCATCATCTTGATAAGGAAAGCCGTCTCCAGCGCTGACTCCTTGCAGTGCAAGTATCTATTTTCTTCAACTATATCAGCCGTCAAATTAAGCAATACTGGATGTTTAGGATCATACACAGAATATTCACGCACCCGAGCAACATATTTTGCAGCTTCCCATACTCCAAACCTGAAAAATAATGGAAGATTATGAGGACTTCACAACACAATGAGCTGCTATTATTTCCACATTAGTATGCAAAACGATGACAGTTCACTTACGTTATGGCCTTGGAACAATTCTTTAGAACTTATGCAAAAGGATTATAGTTAACTTAGTTTACAGCTTAGAACAATTCTTTGTAACCCATGCAAAAGGATGTTAGTTCACTTAATTTACAAGCTTGGAACAATTCTTAGTGGATCAGGTTCTTTACACCTGGTCAGTCCTAGTTGTCAATCATAGTACTGTAGCACATGAGGTACGTAAGAGAAAGAAAAACACCTACTACGCCATGATGGGTGGATAAGACTGGAGATGGTTTAACACTTGTTCCACCTAAGAATTATCATATAGATGGAGAGGAATCACATGAACTGCTTGAAAAGTAAATATCAAGGGACAAATAAACACTCAAATAACGATGATTATGATGACCGCGAAGAGGCTGCTAAGTGCTAACACAGGATTTATGAATCTCCAAGTAAAAATTGTCAACTAAAAGCAAAGTCCCATTTATAAAATGGAGTGTTTTCCTAAAGTTTGTTGTAAGTTGTAACTCAAACTTAATGTTATAGTGTAAAAGACATTGCTTTAGACGATGGCCACATATTTGTACAAGGAACTTGTACCATTGAACAAACCAGAGGAAGTGAATCAGCCAACAATCTACAGAAACCCTGAGAAAAACTTTGGACCTTACCTCGTGTTGAATGAAGAGGTCACCAGAATAGCTGGATATAAAATATCTTTCTGAATGTTATCATAAGGTGAATATTTACGTATTGCCTGAAAGTCATCAATGTCCCCAGGGTACCCGAACTCTTCGTAGTCAGCAGGTGTAAGAGGTAGGATCGGATTGAGGAGAGTGTTTGCTGGATCCAAAAATGGTACCTACAAAAAGAGGTAGTCAACCTTTTCAGTAAAGTCAAAAATGAGGATAAAATTAAAGAAGAAGATTTACTCGACAGAGAAAAATAGTTGACTCTCTGTACATTCCCTGAAAGGGTCATTCCTTTTTTACTCCCGAACTGAAGATTTTCAGTTTTCAATAACAGTTATTTCCTCACTTTTCCTCTTCTTGTTGCGTGGGGGTGAGGGACGTTAGAAAGTTGAGGAAAAGAATGATTTTAGGTGCATAAATGCACTAGTACAAACAATAGTTTTGGGCAGACCTCCAGAACTGCTGCCCGCAATAGACTTGGACAAAAATTTATAGCTGAAGCCACTAACAGCCCTCCAGCACTATAACCCCACCCAGCGAGCTTGTTGTCTTGCACAATTTCCCTCTCAATCAGGAATTTAGCACAGGATATGTAATCAGAAATTGAATTAATCTTTTTTGTTCGCCGGCCATCATGGTGCCACATTTTCCCCCCACCACCTCCGCCTCTGAGAATGAAGACAATAAAAAGGCAATGTCAAGCAGTAGTCACAACATAACTCCATAACAATATAACCTGTCTTCACTTCATAGGAATAGGATACCCGTAAGATATAGACGAGCATTATTATAGAGAAAAAGTAAATTTTAGAGCTATATTACTAAATTGGACATGAGAAGAAAGCACCTGACATCAGCATATGCAATGACCCAACCTCGATCGAGAAGGCTTTTTAACTCACTGCGCCATCTTTTGTCTAATATCTCTCCATAAGCTCCATGTCCATGAAGTAATCCAGGATTCTCAGCTTGCTTTTTCCTCCTTCGCGAATAGACAACAGTCAGAGGAACAATCATCCCATCATAAGAAGTGACATCATAGACTTCACAGGCATAAAACTCAGAAAGATCATTCCATGTAGGATGATTTTCAGGATTGACTTCGTTGTTAGAGCCTAAATTCCTTGGCCTCTGAATAAAACTAGCCGAAGATGATGATCCGTACAACACTTTCGTTCTTTCATGAAGCAAGTTTTGCTGTTGAACTATATTCCACTTTCCACTTGATAAGTCATAATCAACAACTGCATCAGGCATCTATAAACAGCGTGAAATTTAGTCAAACACTGCTATTTGGGAGAGCAAAATGAGCCTGATACTTCTAACAATTAAGTAAATAAACATCTGATCAATGGAAGTTAATGAATATGCAAGTCTAGAAATCTAGTTGAACTTAAGCTATAGACAGACTCAACAGAAACTATGCCTGGTCAAACATAAGAGTATTTGATGATTATTACATTATAATATAATTTATCATCACAGACAGAGTGCCAAGAAATGTTTGGACAAGCAAATAACACATTTGCATTAGAGTCTTCATCACTAGAATAACATTACCTCAAACTCTTCTAAGAGGTCAAATAGGATACTCCATTGACGTAATA